AGTGGCATATATGTACTTAATAAAAGTGGAAAGTTCTTTCTTTTGGTATCTGTAAGCACTTATAAGTTATATATAAATATGTCTGCATAGTTTTTTCTAGGATAAGAAATTAGGTTCAGCCTTGTTTCAATGAGTTCTTCATAACTTTTTCTTCCAGTAAGGAAAAAAAGTCTTATGAATGTTGCTGGGTTGTCCGAGTTATACGCGGAAACCTCAGTGTCACATTTTCTTCCCGGAAAGGCTGTCACAAGAGCTTTACGAGCTCATTTCTTTGTACATCTACCCTTGATGAGCAAAATTATAGATGCTGTGATTCCATCAGAAGCTGAAAAATTGTCTCTCAGCTGACGTTGCACAGGCAGATAAAGAAGAGATTACGTTCGGTATAAAAGAGGAGTTTGCCTCTTTGGAGAATGATGCTGCACTTTTAACAGTTGAAGGAACTCTTGAGAGTGGCAGGTCTGGTGTGTTTTAAGATAATTTCCATGATGTGGTGTAAGGTTATTTGCCTGAGAATGTAGAACAAGCTGATGTGGTTGAAATAAACGATTTGTATAGTAAACTCCCGGATGAACGGTGGAGTAATGGATAGCGGACTGAGGAATCGTAGAGCCGAGTTCAAATTCCAGTCGAAATCAGTACATTCACTTAAGTGCTAATACTCTTCGGACAGGTATGAATGACTATCAACAAATGCAATTTTAAATCGACTTTTTTTTTTCGATACCCAAATAACGCTAGACGGGATCTCAAAGCGCAACCTTCAAACGACGATTTAAGGCATTTCTCATGCAGCTAGGCCCCTGAAAGGGTTTTATCACTTTCTACAACTCAAACTACGTCGGATTAGCTAAAAAAAATGACTATCAAAAAATACAATTTTAAATCGACTTTTTTTTTCGATACTCAAATAACGCTAGCTCTTTTTCTCCCCCAGCTATGGGTAAATAGCATGACAAACCGAGTTCTATAGCGTTGGATGGCAACTAGTCTACCGTAGAAAGAAATGGGAAACTACTGCAGAAAAAATCTGCCTCGTCAGTCATGTGTCAAAAGATACATGACTGGCGATACATGATCGCCTAAGCGTGTATCAGGCACGACACATGACTGGCTGACCCTTGGGAAGATATGAATTCTCCTCTTCTCCCCCACCCAGCTATGGGTAAATAGCATGGCAGACCGGGTTCTATAGCTTTAGATGACAACTGGTCTACCACAGAAAGAAATGGCAACCTACTGCGGGAAAAAAATCTGCCTCGTCAGTCTTGTATTGAAAGATACATGATCGCTTAAGCGTGTATCACGCATGGCGCATAACTGACTGACCCTTGGGAAGGTATGAATTCATCTCTTCTCCCCTTTAGCTAAGAGTAAATATCAGGGTAGCTGGACAGACTTGGTTCTATAGACTTGGAAGGCAACTGGTCTACTGGAGAAAGAAATGGCAACCTACTGCGGGAAAAAATCTGCCTCGTCAGTCTTGTATTGAAAGATACATGATTACATAAGCGTGTATCACGAATGGCTTATAACTGACTGCTCCTTGGGAATGTATGAATCCTGTTCTTCTTCACCCCCAGCTATGGGTAAATAGTAGGGTAAACCGTGTTCTATAGCCTTGGATGACAATTGGTCTACCGCAAAAAGAAATGGCAACCTACTGCGGGGAAAAATCTGCCTCGTCAGTCATGTATCGAAAGATAAATGATCACCTAAGCGTGTATCATGCATGGCACATAACTGACAGATAGTAAAGTGCAAGCATGAGATCAGTACTGATGACATTGGCAAATCTTCAGCCCTCGAGAAGCTGCAAATATTGCTCGATAGTTTCTAGTGCATGAACTCAAGAACACATCAAGAACAGCAATGTTATGTCTGGCCTACATTCAGTACATCGACACGCTTAAGCTGTTTATTCGTACCGAAAGAAGAGGGAATGGAAATTTGCAACTTGTGACGGCAAGGCGGATGCTGAACTTATTTGGAGCTACCGGTCATTTTTACTACGCAAGTTATGCACGAGTGTACCTACAATGGATGCTAGAATTGCCTGAAAATATCACTGGCTGCATCGACAGTTCTCAGAGAACGCGCGTCATTCTGCCCGACGCAGTAAACGTTTTTTTTTTTTTAACTTTTCACCCCAACCAAGGTAGGAGTGTCACTAGCATGCAAGGGGTTACATAAATTACGAGAAAGAGTAAAGAGGCGTGAAAGAGGAAAGGTTGACAAGAAGGACTGGGAATAGATCAAGGCATTTGAAAATGTCGACTGACATTTGAATAGTTGGAGATTATAGCTATCAGGGAAGCAAATAAGAGGAAGGGAGTTTCACAGACAGGAAGTGCGAAACATGAAGCTATTGGAGTAGAAAGAGACGGCTACATTTAACCGTTTCGACAGTGAAAGAGTGGGACTGAGATACCGACCTAGTGGCACGTTTAAATTCATGCAGTTAGGGAACTAGCGAAAATAGATCATCGGAGCAGTTACCGTGAAAGTATTTGTAGAAAAGACAGAGGGAGGCGACGGCGCGTCTGTAAGTGAACGACTGTAAACGAGATGCCAGATCAGGGCCAATCATATTGCATATCCGTCTATTTATTTTGTCGAAGACCCTAAGACGAAGAGCTGGGGCGCCAGACCATATATGACAGCAATATTTCATGCAAGATTTAATAAGCATCTTCATTGTCAGGGTGAGTCATCAGTTTACTTAGGAAAACGGGACTTTCAGCCCTCAAGTTTCTTAGTCCGTTGCTTGAAGTAATGAGATATATATTTGTATTTGTTTTCTTCATTCTCTAGTCATGAATTCCTCTAATAGATCCTATATTCTATTGACCATAGTGCCAAAAATGAAGAGGTCAAAGTGAAGATGAAATTATGCTGCCAATTTCTCTCTATTAGCAACAGTTAAAAACCAGACAAAATTTCATGCTCTCAGCATCAGTGGTTCTTGACTTTGTTGTTTAGTCTGAAAAATATTCAGATATCACGTGACCATCTTGAAAGTTCCACACAGTAAGAGCAATCTCTCAGTGCAATATATGAATTGATCGCAAGTGTTCTAAAAGATTTGTCAGACCGTCACCTCCTTTCTATCTCTCCTTACAGACTGTTTTTATTTGTGAAATTCAATTGGACGGACCAATTATTGGTCTGTAAATTATAGGTGTTAGTGAGTTTTTTATTCACTAAGTGACTTATAGATCTTATAGTTCTTTGTTATGTGTAATGTTATCTACTGATTCTCTGCTATATACATGACTACTGACATATGCCACCTGAAATACGGCTACGTTTTACTTAGGGGTTCATTATTTCAGATCTTGTTTGCAAGTCATGCTTCATGACTAAATTTTTCTAGATGGTACAAATGAGGAATTTTCAATTTTTAAAAGAGGAAATCGTAAACTTTCTAAAAATACCATATTTAGCTTGGTAACATTTTTTCCTGGTTAACATTGATATCGACCAGACTATATCAGAAAGAAGACCCTGCAGTGTGACATGCTTAAGAATCCATGTTTAATTAGAGCTTTTAGTATCTTGCCAAATTTTTTGTTTGCGCATGCCCATACCTGTCTTGAAAAAGTCCACGATTCAGCGTCTCTGTATCACATGATTCTGCCAAGGCGTTGATTTTTCGTAGCTTCAATAGATTTTTAGTTGGTATAAAGAAGTCAATATGGTCGTAAAGATTAAGATTTTAGTTATTAAACATTTAGTTGAATTGACTTCTTTTTAAATCACTATCCTTTGTGATTTTATAGTGATATTGATTAATACATTCGACCTCTATCCCGTAGAATAATCTGTATTTTTTTTTAATTTCATACAGTGCAACCTCTTTAATACAGAATGCTTGGGACCAGGTTAACTCCGGACTATAGAACATGCAGAATGATAGAAATCACCCGGAAAAAAGTTGTATGTAAACATAATCCTGCTAGTTTATTTCACATGTGTATTTCTGCGTTATCAAATGTAGTAAAAAGCTTAAAACAGGAAATAAAACAATCATTAATGCTTCCAAACAAAGTTTTTGTTTTTTCTTGCAAGCACAAAAAACGAACCAACAATAAAACCAGAAATTAGTATGTACTTATTATCCTGGTTGGGTACATATGAAGCTTTAAATAAGAAACGAGAGAGACAGTATCACCAAAACACTCTACTGTTGTCGACCGTTGCAAAAAGCTGTAAACAATGTGTGGTTCTGCTCTTAGAGCTGCTCAAGGAATTAATGCCTGCTGTTTCAAAAAAAAAAATGCCGGATTATTTGTGTTCCCGGACGACAGAGTAAGGAATTGAAGAGATCAGATCGTAACGGTATCTGTAAAAAAAAAAAAAACACAATTGATTTGAAAATTCTAAAACTGTTGCAATTCTCTGGAGAACCATAAAATCAGAGTTAATAATGAAAGGACAGTCGATCTTTGAAAACTTATTTGTTAGACGTTGTCCATTCGACTTCCATTTTCCAATCTCTCGTGATCATGTCTTTAGTAAAATTTAATTATTGCATGCCTATAGGTTAGCTAAAACTGAAATGCATTAATTAATCTAAGATTAAAACTTATTTTATATTCCGTTGCTTCAGCAATTCTCTCGTTTTTTCTCTATTCCGGCGTCAACTTCAGTCGTCTGCAGACACGAAGAGTCAGTATCTTTCTATATTTCTCTGTCTGTCTGTCTGTCTCTCTCTCTCTTTCTCTGTCTCTGTCTGTCTCTGTATTATTAAAAATAGTTTATTTGTTTAAAGATGATATTTCACAGATAAAGCCAATAAAGTAAAGGTAATAAAAACAATATTTGTGTATTTACAGCTTGGAAATATATTTAATTTGCAATGTATTTACAAATAATATGTTGCTTTTTACGAATAGATATGAAAATTTAAATTCATTATTTTTCTGTTTATTTTAAAATATTCATAATATTTCAATGGCGGAATTGTATAACACAATAGATAAATCATAGACAGTTAGCTTTTTATATTTTTCGTTAAAATTCTACCTGTTTTCTCTCTTCCTTCGTCCTTCATTCCTTTCTGTCTTTCTTTGTTTTTCATCTACCGTATCTCTTTTGTCATTCTTTCTTTCTTTTCTTTTCTTGTGTCTGTTATTTCTTTCTTTATTTATTTCTCCTTTTCATCCTTCCTTTCTTTCTTTTTCATCAAAAGTATCTGTCATGTGATTTACGCTTTGAATCCGTCTATAGTGACTTTTCTGTCATTCTTTTTTGGTTCACCTTTCTTTCTTTCTTTCTTTCTTTTTCTTTCTTTCTTTCTTTCTTTCTTTCTTTTTTTCTTTCTTTCTTTCTTTCTTTCTTTCTTTCTCGCATCATTCTTTCTTTCTAGCATCATTCCTTTATTTATTCCTTCCTTCTTTCGATCCAATAAAGGATCTTCTTTCTCTCTTTTTTCTTACCCATCTTTCTTTCTTTCTTTCTTTCTTTCTTTCTTTCTTTCTTTCTTTCTTTCTAGCATCATTCTTTTATTTATTCCTATCTTCCTTCGATCCAATAAAGGATCTTCTTTCTTTCTTTCTTTTATCTTACCCTTCTTTATTTCCCTTCTTCTTTCTTTCTTTCTTTCTTTCTTTTAAGTTTGCTCTTCTTTCTTTTCTTTCATCCTACCTATGTTTTTTTTTTAATCAGTGTCATCCCGTGCAAGGCAGTAAAGCCACTAACACACAAGAGGTTACTGGGCGTGGAAGAATTAGGAACATAAATATTAATAATGAGCTAGAAGAGGAAAGATTAATCAGGAGGTCTGTAGATAGCGACTGACATTGCATTTAAATTTTTGCAGATAAAAGTTCGTTGGAGAGCATGAATTCAGAACATATTTCCACAACCAGGAAGTGTTAGAGAAGAAAACGTTAGCGTAGAATTTACGGCTATATCAAGTCAGTTAAACAGTAAATTGATGAGATTTTGACGCAAATCTGGTGTTGCGCTTAATTTCAAAATTTCTAAATACCATAGCGAAGAGCTTGTTGATTACCCCACTTACTTTCCTGAAGAAAAACGCCGCTAGGGGACGCTCCCTATGCCTATAAATACTCAATGACATCCTCTGTCATCCTCTTTCTCCTATTTTATTTACCGACGGTAAGAAGTAGGTCAAACGCTGAGAAAAGCGAACACGAGCGTGTGCCCGCACGCCAGCACCCTCCCCTTTCTTCAATGTAACACCTTTCCCTAGGACTTCTACATATATGTTACACACATTTACTTGTTTAAATGTTTTCTTCATTCATGTTGATTGTTTTGTAACATGCAACAATATTCTATTGTCTATGTGTACCCTTGTTTTGTTAATACATGCTTATCATTTGTTTATATATATATATATATATATATATATATATATATATATATATATATATATATATGTTATGTTTATCTTATTTATTACGGTGACTCACACTCCGAGTCCGCCATAATTGTTATGGAATCAATATACAAGGAGACACGCGTTTTCTAACACTCGATTAGCATACGCGCGCGACAAGCTTTTTTGGAAAAGTAACCATGAAAGTATTCATAAAAAAAGACACAGAGAAGCAACCTTACGGCGGTGGCAAAGTGACTGGAGCCGAGCCGCCATATCAAGATCATCAACTCTTCCTTCTTGTTCATTTTCTCTCTCTCTCACTCTCTTTCATTATTTCATTCTTTCTTTTCATTTCATAGAACAAGTATCTCTTATATACATCCCCCCTCTCTGCATGACGACTAAAGAACACATCTACAGGTTCGTCTTTACTTGTCGATGCTCATACAATGTTATGCAAATAGAATGCAGAAGAATTACATAGACATAGAACATATTGAGCATATATATATATATATTTATTGGTGAGGCATCCTCATCTTCCATATTTGGCAATGAGACAGCAAGATTAGATGATTAATGGCTTTTATTGTACTTTATGTTGTTTCATATCGGTTTTTTTGTTCTCTTTTAATAATCTAAAAATCCAAATATATGTTAAACATTAAAATAGAATACGACATTGCAGTTAATTGTCTAGATATAGATCTACATTATTCATTCAGAAAAAAAAAAAATCAGCCAAAATTGATTTTATAAATTATTCACAACAAATGCAAACAAGTCAAGTTTGTTTTACAACCGAAAAGGTTGATTTATTTAAAGAGAATATTTATTTATTATTTTTTTAAATAAAAGAAAAGAATAAAACATACGAAGAATACTAAAATTGTTAACTAAAAAAAGCAAACGCTAAGTGATAGTATATATAAATATTTTGGTAATTTTATAGAATTTAAAAATCCGTTTATTCTTGACATAGATATATCATTGTCTTTTTTTTGGTTTTGTTGGCAGCCGAGTATGAATTCAAGTTACTGTTTCAAGTATCAAATAATGAGACCTTGCCGCCAATCCAGTACTGCCCTTTTAATTAAGAAAATCCAGGTACTATAGAGAGAAAGTTCATCAGAACAATTACCATGAAAATAATTATAAAAAAACGTTACCTTCTGTCGGTGAGTAACTGACTGAAGCCGAGACGCCAGATCAGGACCAATAATATTGATGATTTTTTTAATTTTATCAAGACTCTCTGAATATATAACAGGAGCGCCAGTTCACCTATTCAAAGCAAGGAAGAATGGTAGACTTATAAATATGTAAGATCAGCATGGATGATGTTCTGCAACACGATAGCGTCTCTTTGTGCCTTCTTGGGCTCAAGTTTTCCGCTGACCTGAGGTGGAAAAACTACATTGAATCAATAGCTTCATCTTCCGTGAGGAAAGTTGGTTCTCTGCGTCGCGCCAGAAGGTTTTTCCCGTTTGGGTCCATCCTTAAAATCTACAAAGCTACCATTCGTCCTTGCACTGGATACTGTTGCCATATATTATCCGGAGCCCCCACTGTTCATTTCGAGGTTATCGATAAAATCCAAAGACGGATATGTCATAAGTCCTGACCTGGCATCTCAACTCCAATCATTCTTACAGCTGTGATAAGGCTCTTTTCTACAAATATTTTCATGACAACTGCTCTCACGAGCTACTTTCACTGGTAAAACAACCGCATCAATTTAAGCCTGCTACTAGGTTGGCATTTCGGTCCCACCCTTTCACTTTCGCAACAGTTAAATGTAACCGCACCTTCAACTCCAACGTTCTTCTTCTCTCGCACTTCCCAACAGTGGAACTCCCTTCCTCTTACTTGCTTCCCTGATAACTATGATCTTCAAATATTCAAATATAATGTCAATCGACATCTTCCGCCCTTCTCTTTATTCTTTCCTCTTACTTCCACTCTCTGTAAACGCATGTATTCTAGTGGCACTCTTAGCTTGCTTGGACAAAATTCTTAAAAACAATTCTATCGAGATACATTGTCTAGCACGACGTAGCAGCACACCTAACAATATAGCGCAATTGATATCACATAGCAGTAGCAATCTTTTCATATTTTGATTGGAATTATATAGTGGCAGTACTCTTTTCACATTGATTTATCTAAATACAAGATCTAATATTTAACCCATAGCGGGGGAAAGAGATGGATGCATAAAACTGCCAAGGATATTTGCTAGTAAGTGGATGTAACGAACTCGACTGTGGAATAAGAAGGGAATGGGGATTGTTCGTCTCAGTGCATGTGACATGGTGCGTCTTAGCTGTGAAGTTCAGTAACGGTTGAACTGAGGAATTTAGCTCGTTAGAACATTTGCCATGGAAATAGCGAGAGAGCAAGGCTTGAAACATTGTCTGTAACAAAGGAGTTCTTCGGTGGAAAATATTTAATCACCGACAATCCATCACCCTCGCTTTTGAACTCTATCAAGACTTGAAATTGAGGACTGGAAACCGCCAAGATATGTTTAGCATTATTCCATTTCTTTCTCGTTTGACATATTTTCTGCGATTAACTGCCCACCTGCAGTTCCATAAGAAAGCAGTCGAGAATAAATCGCTTAGATAATGACTTTCTGTTGCTTCAATATCTTTTTGTCGGTCTATTGTTTTGAACAATAGGCACAGTTGTGACGGCCAGCTGTGAACAGCGCAGATTCATGGAATACTGTCTCTGTTGATGCTCAAGGAAATCTCTCAAATTATCGATCGAAAACTGGGCGGATTATCTACTTATGATCCACGAGCGTGGATTTCAAACAATGAAGAAAGAAACAAGCCACTTTGTTCACAGATGTGTTTTCCCTCACAGCTGTTAGCTGGGGAGATACAAGATTAAACATATCGACAGATTTATCTTGCTTGGAATAAAGAATGTGTAGCAAGACCTTTCCTTTTTTTTTCTTCACAAAATTCACAGAAAATATAAAAATTGGTCAAGACGGAATTTTAATGAAGCCCTTTGAGAATGGCTAGCAAATGAGTCCATCCATTGTTTTAATGAGTACCTCAACATGCTTTTAGAACGGTACTTACTGTATTTCAGTTTTCAGTTTTGCAAAATATCTCGGGAAATATAAAATGTGAATTGAACGGGGTGAGAGCATAGAGTGAATGATCCGCAATTTATTTCACGCACTGTACGAGTATCTTCATATTTGTTTTGTTAGTACACCTTAATTTTTTTTCTTTTTTACTTGTATGTGTTATCCATCGATCGAGAGAGACCTTGGATATGCACCCAAAGAGTTATGCCACAGCTGCTGATAGCATGTCTTACGGCTGTACAGGCACACACAGGTGTGTCAGACGCGATTGCAACGAATGCAAGTGAGGACGCTCAACCCCTAAAGATTTTTTTTCTTTTCGTTGAGCACACTTCTCCCCAGAGGCAAGCCTTCATTTTTCTCTCCTCGCTCGAGACTTCGGAGTAAATCGCGTCTCCGGTTTGAGCGATTGTTACAACCAGTAGACTGCTGCTTCCTGCGATTGCCGTCGCAGTAGAAAAGGCATTATTATACAGGAAAGATTAATGGTAACCATAAACTTGAAACGGTCAAAATTGTAGTGAATGCGAGAACATCCTGCCGGCTGACTGTTCCACAAAGCAGCAGTTATTGGGAAGAAGCTGTCCAAATGGAACTTATTTCTTAATATAGGAATACAAAATAAAAAAATAAAAATTTACCCTAGACTTGAAGAGGTCAAAATTGTAGTAATCGAAAAAGCATCCTTCCGGGAGTCTGTTCCACAAAGCAGCAGTTCTTGGAAAGAAGCTGTCCAAATGGAACTTACTTCTTACTATAGGAATACGAAAGGAAAAGATAACAATGTACCCTAGACTTGAAGAGGTCAAAATTGTAGTGAATAGGAAAACATCTTACCAGGAGTCTGTTCCACAAAGCAGCAGTTCCTGTCAAGAAGATTCCCAAGTGGAACTTACTCCTTACTAATGGAATATGAAGGCAATGAGGATGATTCATCCTTATGTACTCGGCATAGAGGGGGCAGTTTCACATGTCTGGGTTAGTGGAACCAAGTAATATAGCTCGTTAGATCTGTTGCCGTGGAAACAGCGAGAGTTTTGCAATGTTTCGTCTGTGGTAAATGAGTTAGAAAGGATTGTCCTCTCCAGAGCTCAGGCCTGGGCGCGGTTTTCATGAGACATCGGCACTTAACCATGCCACACATCTTCCCCTCTACT